AATTGAATTGAATTATTTGATGTTTATTGTATTTTGTTTATAGTAGTGATTTTAGAAGACAAGCCAGGTGTGCAGCAAACACAGTTGTCTGCTGGAGGTATGTTAACTTAATATTGACATTTAAAAAAAAGTATATTTATGCACTACAATTTAATTTATTTTGTATTGCCTCCTGCAGGACAGGCTGCACATGTGAATTTGTCACTGTTCCTTCCTCCTTCTCCTTTGTTGCGTTTTTGGTTTTAGTAGGGTCACCTTTTAAAACAGTTTTTTATGCCGGGTTTGTTTTTATTTCTACTGGGCTGGTGCAATATTAGTCAGGCAATTCCTGAGCTGGGCTCTTACCTAAGGGGAATTGGGTCTTTTAGAGGTGCTCCGTGTGGATTTGCAGTGAATAAGTTTTATTAAGAGTGATTTTAGTGCCACCGATTTTTGCCTGAACTAAAACACTTAGTGCATGCGATAAGTGTTCTGTTGGGCTCGTATTTATTTGGGGTGGATTTGTTTCTTTTAAAGCAACAAGAATCTGGGACCACCGAGGGAGAGCAAGCCCTCAGGTGATAGTTGCATTGCTGGCAGGTTGCACCAATAAGAATATCTTGTGGTCGTTAGTGACCTTTTCCATTTTGATGTTTTAGGCCTTTTGCAAACCCTTTGTGTTCTTTTTAAATAAATTTTAACATATCTGACTGATATTGACCCTCTTGTCCCGTTTATTCTGGGCTCGTTCCTGTTAGAGCTTTGGGCCTGAAAGTTTGCACAAGTAGTATAGAGGCCCTTAGCGGTTACTCGGTGGCTTTTACTCGCTACATTAAGAAGGAGGGGACTTGGTTAAAGGACACTAAAAAGGTACAGCACACTGTACAGAAACCCAGGAGCGGCAAGTGAAGATGTAACACATCATGGTGACCCGCTCTGGCTGTTATTGGTCATCACACATATTAGAGGACTGTTCTGATGTGATTCAGTGGAGCCAAGCCACAAACGGAAAGGCAGGTGAGTTCCCCGGTAAGAATTTCTATCTTGAAGTCCAGATTAATGGGGGTTGGAAGAGAAGGCTCAAAAGCTGGTCTGAGAGGGAAAGCGGGGTGGGGCCGGGGGGGACAAGGACATATTGTTTGACATTCTCTTAGTGTTTTTAAGCCAAGATAGGCGCTTAACATGTAACACACCA